TAAAACTCCCTCGTCTCCCACACTCCTAACACCATATGCCGCAGACACCACCGATAGTGCGACCACTGCCAGTGACAGGGCCCAGACGAGCACCACAAGCCACGGCACTACGGATAGCACGCCCTCGTCTGTGAGCGCAACCACAGAGACGCCATCCAGCAGTGCCACGGGCAAACGGAAGCGACGGGACAGTGTCCTAAGTGTGTGGACTGTTGATGCGCCCCACAGTGACGAACCACCCGCCAAGAAGCCCAGAATCAGGTGTGTACACCTGTGCGTGCATGTTTCTGGAGACCCGACTGTGCCGGATTAAGGTCTGCGTATAGCCGGTGTGAGTGTACATGAAGACCGCGAACGGGTCCCCTGTTCATGTGCTCGTATATGCAACCGCGTTGTACCGAACTGTCGCCTTTGCTTTGCGTACCTTTTGTCTTCTGCATACATTCGTATGTAGACTCGGAACTGATACTTGCGGGGTTTGCTTGTAGGCATTAACTGGTATCTCATTGACCTTGTTGTTCTACAGATTCGGCCAGGTGGAAGTGCGATTGTATCCGCGTACCCTTGGCGGCTCATGTAGTGTACCAGGTCAGTCCTCTGAGTACAGTGTCAGGGGGTAGGTAGTTGTACTAGTAGAGTATCAGGGGTAGGTAGTTGTACTAGTACAGTGTCAGGGGGTAGGTAGTTGTACTAGTACAGTATCAGGGGGTAGGTAGTTGTACTAGTACAGTATCAGGGGGTAGGTTAGTTGTACTATCCTTATTATACACGACTATATGTCAGTGAGTGTCAATTTGATGTACGGAGTGGGCCTGTTGTTGTGGGCTGGGTGGTCGCGGCAAAATGAGGCCTGCTGCTTTTCTTATGTTTACGTCGGTGATAGGTGGGGCTACTACCGGGTATAGTCTGCGATATATCAGACAAACGTATAAAATTAAAAATAGTGCAATAATTTTGGATTTCGGTTGAGTGTATGCGTGAGCTTTATGTTGTTCTGCGATCCGTTCGGCGTTGTACACTTAGACAGTGGTGGGGCAATCCGTTCGGCGTTGTACACTTAGACAGTGGTGGGGCAATCCGTTCAGTATTGTACACTTAGACAGTGGTGGGTTTCGGAGGTGTTGTGAGATAAACTCGGAAAACTTGCGCTGTGCTTCGTGTTATGAAGTAGGCGTTTGTACGTCTTTATTCCCGAGTTTCGGCATATCGGTATGAGTTAATAGGAATAGAGGCTTAGTGTAGCGATGTCCCTCGTTCTGCTCCACAAAGCGTTTGATTCGATACCAATCGAACAGTTAGTTACCGTCCGTTGATGAACCACACTCTGCATTCACAGACGAGGGCGGGTGCCCCATTGGACTGGACTGGCATTACACATGGAACGAAGTGAACAACAAGCACTACGACAACTTAGCCAAGTACGAGACCTACTGCAAACGGTCGAAGCGCGGCAAGAGCGTCAAGGGCGTTGTCTCCGAGAAAGAAAGACAGGTGGGAGTGTGTGCGTGTGTGCGTGTGTGTTTGTGTGTGTGTGTGCGTGTGTGCGTTCGCTCGTGCCTGAGCGTGAACGTTTTGGTAGTCGACCGATGAATATATAAGGAATCCGGAGGTGCGTATAATTTAACGTTTAAGTGAGGGGATTTTATTTCGGCAACTGAGCTTAACGTATGCTGGATGTATAGTAAGATGGTTAGCGTACATGTGTATAAACTACGAGTGTGATCTCAATCCGCGGCATCCACCGCACGGCTGAGGTGATCATTACACATTGACATATGGCTCAGAACACTCCATGGCACTCTCGCACCAGTCATTAGTACCCATCCTTCCATCTAACCACGGTTGCAAACACTGCTGCTTCGTTGCCGAGCCGCTATTGTCGACAGCGTTTTAGTACGAGCGCCCTTGTGATACTTGCAACCAGCCCGTGCCCCATACTGGATGGTTCACTACTACACTCACCCTCCACTCACGCATTCCTTAATTCGGCTGCTCCCGAGCGCTGTCGGTCCCTATACCTACAGGCCATGCTGTACGGCCGGGCAAAGAACAAGCAGTTCACTGATCCCAAGGATGTGGAAGAATATAACAATGTAAGTCAGGCACGAGCGACGTGTGTACCTTATTGTGTTACAGGTGTTTGTTAGCAGCGCAGAAGCCCATAGCAGTGTGAGGTGGGCACAGTAGGGCAGAGCTCGGTGACATTGACAGTCGTTGCATCAATACCTTTGAAGACCAGGACAAATGCGGTCCAGCATACGCGATGTAGAAGGCTTTAGCAGTGTACAACACGTATATAAGCCCCACAACCGAATGGTATCGTTTGGGGTTGTGAGTCTGAGGACTGGCGTGTGAGCTCTGGTCCCTGGGGTAGGTAGGAGTATACCGACACTCGAGCCGACGGGCGTGGGATGGTATAAGGTGTTCTACCGTGATTTTTTTTATCGGCAATTGGTATCGGTGTGTATGCCCTACCAAGTGTGGATGATATTATGTACACCATTTAAACTCTGAGCTGAGCTGCCTGTGCAGATAATGGCAGATGCATGCTTATATATATATATATATATATATATCAATGTATGCGCCTGTATTTGTATATGAATATATACTAATGTATGCATATGTATTTGTAAATATATGTATTAAAGTATGCGTATGTATTTGTAGCTATATGTACTAATGTATGCATATGTATTTGTAAATATATGTATTGAAGTATGCGTATGTATTTGTAGATATATGTACTATTGTATGCATATGTATTCGCAATGTATTAAAGTATGCGCATGTATTTTTAGCTATATGTACTAATGTATGCATATGTATTTGTATATATATACGTATTAATGTATGTATATGTATTT